GCCGAATTTCCGAGTCATAAAAATTTCCAGAGAAACTACGCGGCGGAGATACGCGGGAACTATCACGAATCTTCAGATTGTTTTGAATACCCCAAAAAATCCCTAAATCAAGCTACCCAAAAAATAACCTGCCAAAATTTTCCTACCCAAAAAAATCCCGAAATCGAAACTTTCAAACCCAAAAAATCCTTCGATCATCCCTGTCACTTCAAATCCGGAGTACCCTTCCTCTGGGGACGCGTTCTTGGCTTAACTAGCACGATGAACTAAATAGCAGTGTCACAGTCCCTTTAGGCGTTGACCCTGAGTTTTGTCATGTATTTGGAATAGCGAACTCACCTTGGCAAGTGTTGTTAATATATAACAGACCCTGTTGACATTCACACATGTAGCTACCCGGTGTGTTTTTACAAACACGGAAGCGACCCGGGCAACTAAACAGCGTTGAATTCAGGCATTCATTAATATCTGAAAAAAAGAGGCAATAGAATAAATTTGTACGCGTAGGTGTGGTTACATGCGCACGCGCCACGATTTTCTGTAGTGTATGTATAAGGAAGTACTGTTTAAAAATTGAAAACAAAAGAAGAGAAAGCAAACGAACGAACGAACGAACGAACGAAAGAACAAACTGCAAAATTGACGAAAAGCGCGCGGTGAGTACTTTGAATAGCTTTCCTGCGAAAAAATTAACCCTGCGAGCCGAGCCTCCATTTGTCTTTTTGAGTGAAGAGAAGAAAAGGAGGCTTTGCCTGAATCGCGTTTGAAGTCGCTGACGCTCGAACTTCTGGACTGGACTACACATTAAGACGGAATCCATTAGGAAATTGAACAATTTTAATTTTCAGTGGACAAAAACCTTGTACCAGAATAATTTAAACAATATCGCATTCTTTTTTACATTTTTCAAGGGCTATAGATATAATTAGTTATCTGTAATAACACCAAAGATTATTTCTCATGGGAGCCCGAGAAAATGAATGTCAAATTTCACAAGAATTGTGAAAACACTGGTAAAATTCTGAAAATTTCATGTGTAAGAAGTCGCTTTGTGAGATTTGACATTTACTTTCTCGAGCTCTCATAAGAAATTTTCTTTGGTGTTACTACAGATAACTAATTACATCTATTTACTTTCTCGAGCTCTCATGAGAAATTTTCTTTGGTGTTACTACTGATAACTAATTATGTCTATAGCTCTTAAAAATGTAAAAAGAACGCAATATTGTTTGAATTACTCTGGTACAAGGTTTTTGTCCACTGAAAATTGAAATTTCTCAATTTCCTGATGGGTTCCTTCTTAACAAAGCTTTTACTTACTTACTTACTTACTTACTTACTAGTAATCTTGTTCTCTATACGCCACTTCCACATTTTCCATAATGCACCTTATTTGCAATGTCTGGTTCATTAAATCAATTTAAATGCCTTCTCTATTATAATATTTAAAAACACGGCATTCATGGAAATCAGTTTTTTAAGTGGCATATTGTTGTAAGTTAATGTATTGTTAGGATTAGGATTTTTAGGTTTTAGGAGGCTAGTCATTGTATTGGAATTTATTGTACCTGATGAATTTTTTAACCGCGTATAAATAATGATTAAAGATTAAAAATTAAAGATCAAAGATCAAGTTTTCCCACCCAAGTGCGTCTAGAAGTAGAGAAGAACTTCATGAACCGGGCGGCACGATTTTGAAGCTTCTCAGTTAATTGACTATTTATACCATCCCAGGTAGACTTGCCTACAACTCGAACTCAAATCTTTTCACGAACGCGAAGCGCGAGCGGTATATTTTCTGCAGCAAAACCGAGCGAGAGAGCGAGAGCTCGCCTTTCGTGCTGGGGCCAAGTACCGGAACCGGAAATAAGAAGCGAAGGACTTTGAGAAAATCTACATCCCAGGCTGTGCAACAATAATCAAAATGTGGCTGGATGAGGAAATTATAAATCAATTTAGCCGTATTGCCTAGGTCTCTTTTAGGGCTCCATTAGGCCAAAAGATGTTTTTTAGAAATTTGGTCTTAGTAGCTTTTCCAATGATTTACCCTTCTCAGCTTGGTTGATATTTTTCCATTCTATTATGATTTGCATTTGCTTACTGCCTTGCAGCGTAATCTTTGGCGAGTGCCAAGTAACATAAATCCAGTTTTAGCAATATTTAGACTTAACTTGTTCGCCATGAGCCAATATTAGTATCATCAGTATACATTCTAGAGGCTATATATATATCAGAAAAAGTAATGGTCCTAAGATGGAACCTTAAGGAATTCCACAAGTGATTTGTTTTGCTTGTGATAAATGACTTTTCACCTTGCACTTTTGGCTTCGATTGCTTAAATACGTCCCAAACCACTTTAAAGAGTTCCCGATTCTAGATCCCCTTTTCCTTAAACCCCGAAGCCTTCAACTAAAATCTCACATCCCTAAAAACCTATTGGGGTACCCTTTAAATCAATTTTCACGCTATTTCAATTACCTGTGCAAGTAAAGCCATTAGCTTCCAGCTTATATCCAGAGAAACACTTGCATTCGTAACTACCTTCCAAATTTTTACATTCTTGTGTGCATCTTACGCCAGAAATTTTGCATTCGTCAATATCTATGAAAAGCATCCGTACATACGTATTAATATTTACACACTGTAAATTGGTAATGGCACAAGTGAATTTTGGTGGACGCGTATAAAACGCGAACTATCTTCATGGCATCGCTCTCTATGAGTTCGTAGCTCAATGGATGGACAACCGACTCGGGAAGTCATAGGATCGAATCCTGTCGAGGACTCGAGATTGTGTTTTCTTTTATGACTATACTGCATAAGAAATAAATTTCAATAACTTATACATTTGGTTTAATAGTATATTTAACAATTATTCCTCGAGACAATAGCCCATGAGGTGAGAGGAATAATTGCTTTAGTAAAATCCAACTAGTTGGTCAAAAATATCGAGAATAAAAAAATTTTAGCTACTTAAAGCTAGACTTTAATCCTTTTTTGCCGCCAAAAAGCCCGCGCTTTTCGTTTGTAGTGGGCTATAACATATAGCCTAGTAGTGGCTCAACCAATCAGAACGCAGCATTGATAATAGACCACTAGCTGGATTTTACTAATGTATAATAGTTTGTCTAATACTTATAAACGAATATGGAAAAGGAAAAGCATTAATGAAGCACGTTTTTAATTATGGTGGCTCTCAAATCCTTGATCGAGTTAGAATAAGGGGTTAAGTGTTTTGTAGAGTTAGGAACAACCACAGAAAGCCCCTCGGAACGGTACGAAGGGACTCAACTCGAATCGTGCCTCATAGGGGCGGAAGAAAGTTCGAGATATTCGGGACATAAGGAACCCGGTAAGTGGCGCCTTATTGTTATGCTTAACGAAGTATACAATTAGAAAATCGTTTTACTTTTGAATGCATGTAAGTGTGACAACACAAACGCAAGCTTAACCCAAGACGGGGACCCCGTCTGCTTTACGAGTGCTTCCCAAGGAGGACTGACCTTCACAAGTTTTTCCGTCACTGTTAAGTTGATACCCAGCGAAACAGTCGCAAGCTTGAATGTTGCCTTGCCCTCTGTAACAGACCTGATTACAGTCATTGTCTGAACAACGATTGGACGCTGGGGGAAGAAAATACCGGGAAAAGCTAAAATAAGTTGCCATGTCGGTAAAGCGCATTCTCTTAAGGCAGAAGGTAGGCGTCGGGGACTGAAGTTAACATGGACCTTAAGAAACTACGACGACGACGACAACGACAACGACAACGCAAAAAAAAAAAAAACAATTGGTTTTATGAGCAAAACAACAGCTCTGCAGGTCCACTCACGTCCACTGCACGACTACGATGTGAAACCTCCCAATGCGACGTTTTGTGGAGGACGTGGACATACGACAACAAATTTTCCTTTCTCTATTTGAACATGGATAAAGCCCTAAAGAATTCACCTCCAAAACAAGTCGCCTACATTGGACGAATTGAGCGGTGCCAAATAGACATGCTAATGTTTGAAAAGACGCAAATTAATTTTTTAGTGATGTTTTCACTGCCGTCGTCGTCGTAGTTGCTTAAGGTTCCTATTACTATTAGTAGTTTCAAGAGATTGGAGAGGATTGGATTCCGTAACTGAGGCCCTATTTATGTGAATAAAAGTTACCGCGAGAAAGAGGGTCACTCTACCAGCCGAGTCAACTGGGCAGGCGTTTATTTGAGAATAACGTGACCCTTACCTAAGCCAACAGCGGTCGCACATGCTCCGATTGTGACGCCTTGATCGAGTTAACTCGGCTAGGCGGGCAAAGGTGTTTAAATGGAGAAAAGTTGGCCCGGCAAAGAGAGTGACCTGGCTAAGCGGGTCACCCTTCCAGTCGAGCCAATTTTTTGTTTCTCTGTTTATGAACGGTTTGCTAAGTTTTATGAGGTAATGTAGAAAACGTTAACTAGCCCAGAGTAGCTTAGTTATGCGGGTGACCCTTCTAACCGGGACAAGTTATCTCCATAGTAACGGGGCCTGAGCTGTGTTTTCCAACAAGTTATCTATATTTTTCATGCCTGTATAATGCTCACACACACAAAAAAATGAAAGATTACTTACGGACGCAGCTTTTGCTGTCTGATTGGTTAACCTTAAAGAAATCATTACAGTAACAGGTGTAATTTCCAATTGTGTTGTTACATTTGTGCATACAGTCATTGGTAGGTTCACATTCGTTGATGTCTGTGAGGATAGTAAAGATTCATAAGTTTAGTACATAGAAGGGGTGTCCAACATTTACGCGTCCCACTTTAGGTTTATGTTTTTTATACTACTACATGAGAAATTTCTGCAATTTGATTGGCTTAGAGCAGTGGTATTTCAGCTTAATTTGAAATACCTACATGTGGAAATTACAAAACTATTGTGGGTAGTAGAATAAACAAATAATAGCACGATTTGTACGTGATATTTGGCATAAATACTACTCGTGACATTTCAAAATTGTCTCAAATTTCACTCGCCTAACGGCTCGTGAAATTATGTATAACAATTTTGAAATATCACTAGTGGTATTTATGCCAAATATCACTACAAATCATGCTATTACCTATACAAATAATTTATGGAAATTTGCATGTAATGTTGTCTCTATATAGTTGTCCTTTTATTTTTCTTCTCCATTTTTTGGTAGTATTTCGAAGGTGTCTACGAATTGTAATTTGTAATTTCAGTAGTGTAAACTGAGTAGTGTACAATGACATTTGTTTGAATGTTTTGTGGTTTGTAGCTTCGTAGTGCATTATGGTCTGTGAATATGGTGAATGAACGTGTTTCCCTATCAGTGTAGAGCTAAGGAGTTTCTTTATTTACACTGTAGTACAGATAACAAGGCTTTTCTTACCATCACAACTGTATTTATTGCTGTTTAACGTAAAGCCGGCATTACAGCTACAAACGAATGAACCAGGAGTGTTGGTGCACTTCTGCGCACAGTTGTGTATTGAGCTGTTTGCACATTCATTTATATCTGAAAGAAAGAAGTAACCGAAAACTTAACCTCACGGTTCATTGTTAACTTAACAGTATGGATAAAATGTCGACCTCCTTCTTTAATTTATTCCAGCAATTTCTGGTTAACCCAGGTTAGGGCAGTAGTTGATGTACCGCCATGATTATAAAACAACAGCACTTGCGCAGATGTTCGCTTCTCAATTCACCTCCATGTAAAAATATTCAGAGTTAAAGAACGTGTCGTGAAATTGGTGGAGACAATTTTGGAACATTCCCCAAAGAGGTTTTTAGACTTAATTACTTGATGATACGATGTCATCGTTTGTACAGGACACATACGGGACTTACCTACACACTTAATACCATTGCCTGAATACCCGGATGGACATGGGCCACATTGATAACCCGTAATATTGGCAGGAGCTTTCAAGTCTGTGCAAGTGGACCCCTTGAAACAAGGCTGTCCGTTCAATTTGCATGCGTCAATGTCGCTCTCGCAGAACCGTCCTGTGTACCCAGCGGAGCATGCGCATCCCTGGTAAATAAACTTGCTGTCGTTGTTATATTTGTCGCCCACTTTTGGCGCCACACACTGGCCACCATTTCTGCAGGCGCACATTTTGATACATGGTGTGGAACTCGAGGCAGCGCCGAATTCGTCGGTTGCCACAAATGAGAACTTAACCTAACAATAAAAAGTAATTCCTGGCTCAGATATCAGATATTGAAACATTAAGAAACTGGGTGGATAATTCGCATGTAATCTCGTAATTTCGACGCAACACATTAGTGAAATCCGCTTTTCCTTATGAAAGGCTCATGGATGTGAGGCTAGCTTCTAGCAAACAAAAAATTAACATTAATGCAGTTTTTTTATATAAACACCAATGAAATACCAGGTGAGATTTCGCGCGAAAAAATGATATCTTTACACGTGAAAATAAATTTTCACATGTGAAAAGATTACCGTTGCTATGGCTACATAATAAATGGCGCCTTTCGCAGGAAAAAACTGTTTACGAGAAATGGTTTGGTAATTCATTGATAATTATATAATAAATAAAACATTGCGCGAGAACGAGTGAAATATTTTCAACGCGAGAAGAGAAATTTCGTATCTCCAAGCGGCCATGTAATATCCTCTATATATTCTCTTTTGGAAAACTAGAAAGGAAGCATGAAGGAATGATTATCCATTGAAAGTATCCTTCCATTTGACCCACTCGCTGAAACCTAAACTTTGGGTAAGTTGCATGTATAGGAAGTTCATTCCCGTTTCAGGTCCCTTCCTCCGCCATGTTTTTCTATTATCTCATTGTCACTCTCTCCTCCGCAGAGGCTCCCGCTGGGTATCCCTATAAAAATAGCAATAATACACATTTATTTGGTTGATGAACTTTGAATAGCAAACCTTTTCAGCGGAAGTGACATTCCATGTAAAGTTCATGAAATTTCCGGAGGAGGAAATGTTGGCCCCGTTTGGTATGTTAAGAACGCTGAAGGTGAAGGAGTCATTGTCTGAAGCTGTAACGTTCACAAACGCAACTTCTCCAAGGGTTACTTCGATACATTTGGGGACATATGTGAACTTTGGAGGAAAGTTATCTGCAAAAAAAATGGATTAAAACGATTTAACCTTCATCCCAAACTGGACAAAAGAAGTGGGAAGGTACGGGAAACCGGAACTGAAGGACAAAAGATCTTGTTGCTTGGACACTGACCACTTTTAAAGTGCTTACGAAGTAAAGAAACGTGAATCTTGTTTCAAAGGCCTGTTAGCATAAAGAACAACGGTGTTGTTGGAATATCTTCACTCAACCCCGAGATATCTAAGTTTTAATATTATGCATCTGAGGGAGTTCAAAAGATAACGTTTTGGTCACTATCCTTTATTCAAAGAGATTCAAAGAATTGTGCAATGGATTGGTCGTGTCTTACTAATGGAGCTCTATTATAAGTAGAACTAAACTTAAATGGTAAATTTTGTCTTTACGGCTGCCATTGTGGAAAA